ATCGGCGCTGTTTGTTCCAAGAAATTAGCCAGAAAAACATCAGTACTTTGCAGGAAGCTCTAGAAATGTTTCGACAATCATTTTGCCGGATCTGACTTGATTACTTTTCAATGTTTAAAATTATCATAAAGGCTATTTTGGGTTGTGAGAACATTGCGTTCAGTACTTCCGTCTGGGTAAACGTGCGGAACCTCGTTTAAAATAGTTCCTTAGAATTATTTATAGTAGCTCTTTTATTGTTATCTTCAAATGAAGTTTAAGTGCAATACATTCAAATAATCCTTTATATCTTTTTCTTCAGTTGATTTTTCCATGTGCCTGTCTTATTCTAAAATTGCTGAAGGTAAACCGAGTAAAAAATAATGGAATTATCGATACTAGTTGCAAATAGAATTGCGATAAAGGCCATTTTATTTCAGTCATGGACGAAACGAATGAAATATAACTAACACTAGCGAAGATTAAGGATTTAAGCAAGTTCATATATTGACCTGATTTTCTAAACTGTTTTGGAAATCCTTCACCAATTTTACGCTTCCATGAAGAAAAACGGTTAACGGGAAGTTCTTTACCTCTGTGAATGGCTGAAGCCTCAAAAGCTAAAAATACCTAGCACCTTCCTCTTCCTTCTGTGAACGGAATGATTTTGTTTACACAAGAACCCATGCCGCCGCTCGCTGTTCATAGTTAAGGCAATGAAGAGTTATCTAGAAAATATCGCCGATTTTATGCTATTGAGGGGCCGCAAAAACGGCCCCAGAGCCAAAAAATTTGGGTGGCCATAGCGACACCGACCTTATCCACACAGGTCATCCTCGATAACAACAGTGAGAAAATGCAACATTTATCACCTAACTTCTTACAACACTTATGGGAGCGGAACATGAGATAGATTCGATAACCAACTTAATAATTACTAAATTGAACTTCAAAAGTACACGAGAGCGTAACAAAGTAAACTACCTGTCCTTAGAACTAAAAGCAATGTGTCAAATGTGAACAGAAGAAATTGAGCGGTAAGGAAGAACTACGCATGCGCAGAGCAATCAGCGCTCAGCAACCGCCAAACTCACTGCAACACCAATCTGGCTAATCGCACTAAAACACTTCCCGTAAAAATGAGCTTGCGTCATTAACAGGCTTATAATAAATCAAAGGTATACTGTTCCTTATAGCACAAAAAAGGGGGAAAAACGAGATAAATCCAGTAAGAGAAAATTGTATTATAATTTACTGGTGAAAAGTCCAAGATGTTTCGAAAAACAGGCCCTCTACTGGGGCCAAGAACTAAAATAAATACACAAGTTAGAACGCTTTAATTCTAAAATACATGCAAAAGAAGAAGAGAGGTAGGCCAGTGAGAGAGCAGAGGCAAAAGAAGAAGAGAATAGAGGTAGTCTGAACCTTCCTCTTTTGTTATTGGTTTTCTCTAACGCATAAGAATAAGCAACACACACAGTAATGTGCTGATAACTAGCACTTTTGTTAGTAAATTTCCCTGAGAATACAGCCGGATTTCCGATTTTTAATTGTTTCACGTCGCCGAAAACAACTGCAGGGTACCCCAGACGGAGCTTCACGTTATGAAATGTCTACCCCTCATTTTCGCCGGCATGTGATCAAAGGAAACGCGAGGTCTGGGAAAGAGAATGAATTTTAGGACGTAAGACTGGGTGTGTTTAAAACACGAAATGGCGAAATGACGAAATGGCATTAACTGGTAAGAGTCAATGTGGGATACGGTTACCCTACGCAATGGGCCATTTTCGAATTTTCTTTAGCCTCTTCCTTAAGGCGAGTCTTGGTGCCCATCCTTTCGTCTGAAAATGACATTCCATTCACATGCAAATTAAACTCATTTCATGAATGGTTGTGCACCAGGCCTCGCTTTGATAGGGAGGCTTAAGGCAACTCGGAAATGGGCTAAGTCAGTGATATTTAGGCTAACCGTAGTGCTATTTAGGCTAACCAGAGAGCTATTTAGGCTAACCGTAGTGACGCGCCCCGTTAGCGACTTTAATTTACGCTACGGCGAGGTGCTACTACGGTTACGTTAGCCGTGAGGGACTCGGCTGACAACGGTGTTTTGCCCGCCAAACTCAAATGATTAAGATTTTGCCGTGCGGCAACGGTATGTGCAGTCTCTACGTGTCTTTACAAAAGTGACTACTTTCAAGGAAACCAGAGATTATTCTACTTTCATACGAAATAGGCTTGATTAATGACAATGATTTCCTTCTCCTGTATCCGTCTTACATCTCCCAGAACTGAGATTTGCCTTTTAGAACTTGATAGAACCGCCTGCAATTCCAATCACAAACACTGATATAAAAAAGCTCGATTTCAACACGGACAGGTTGTTCGTACAATGATTACGTGATAAGCCCGAAAACACAAAACTCTCGATTATAATAATATACATTTTGAACAGTAATAAACAATTATTGCTCAGCTTAGTACATACGAAGTTTTCTTATCTACGGCTGTTCGGCCCGATACTAATATGACTGAATCGATCATCTCGCGGTAGGTGTTAAAATCGTTCAAATTTTCTGTACAAATGACAAAGAAACAATGATCTTAGAACTGATTTTTATAATTGAGAACTTTATCTTCAAACTAGGCTGTTCAAACGGTGAAAAAAGCGTTAAAATAAGAAGTAAACAGCAAGATTATACTCACGTAGTGAAGAGTACGTGAAACCAGTAGTAGAAAGCAAGGCTACGGCGGGAAAGCCGTACTGGTACGCGCGTCATGACGTCACCGGAGGCGATCTTCACTATCTGCCGCCGTTCTACAGCCTAGCCGTACCATATCTTAAAGTCCCTATTGTTTTGTGAGTGTGTGGTGAAGAGGATAGGCGGTGACAACAAGGGACCCGGAGCAGTCGAGAATAAAAATGTCCACGCAAATTAATAGTGAAAAAAGTAATGAATTTTAGATTTTCTCGAGATGTGTTGAAAATATTCCCTTGACCTCAATTTTGCCAGGTTTCTCTGACCAAGGTAAATGCAAGCATGAAACGTAATTTTACCGCGCAGAACGTTTCACTAGTTCTTGATTTAATATCAAAAGAAATGTGAATTTTTCGCGCTCCCGCTTTTCCATTGGCGTTGTTATTGCTGCAAGGAACAACTTATACCGTTTTTTCTCTTTGTTTCATCGGTTTGGTGTAGTGGACACAATATTTAAGGGAGACAACCGAGTAATTATCATTCTTGTTAATGTTCAATTTGAAATGTGACTTACACTGCGTAACACGCCACTCTAGCTGAACTGGCCGTTTTTAAAACAGGACGGAAGCGCTCACGGCTGAATGGAGGCTAAAAGCTTACACGACAGAAGAATGTTAACAAACTTAAAACGACTAACCAGATCAGTAGCGGTTTGAAGAGCGACAACATTCCTGTTCCACGTCGACTGTTAGATTAAGCTGGCTTGCTCACGTTTTAAAACAAAAGGTGGCAAATTGCTACGAAATGAAGTTTTGTCCGTTGTTTCGTTGGTTGAATATCTCTCGTTATCACTGGTCGCCAGACAACGGTGCGAGCTATTAGCTATTTGAAATAATCGTTTTTCGAAAAGTGTCGAAAAATTAACCCGTTTTTGTTTTGAAAACGGGAGATTAACCCGGTAATATTATAACAACATTTAAGGGAACTTTTTGATAAATTAGTTATATCAAATAACCAAATATCGTCAGGGCGAAAAGTATGAACATGACTTATCACACGATGAAAAAGGTCATCTAATTTATGTTAACATTAAATATTCTGCGCCTCATCCGTCGAGTATAGGCTGTATATTTCTCTCACTCTAAACCCAGTGGTCGATATACCGTGTTTTAATAAGAATGACTGAGAACTTGCTACAAATTGACGTTATTATCTTGCATTGGAAAAAAGCCTGCAATGTCTACAGCAAAGAAAATTATCAAATGACTAAAAGGATTTCAATTTCACCAGAATGGCATTTTGATCTCGACATCCGTTTTCAAAAAATCAAATTCTATTTCCATCCCTCTCCCCCAAAACACTTGTTCTGTGGTATCTTTTTATCGAATTTATTTGTGTAGCTGTTGGTATGTGGTAATATAATATGTAGATTAGGAATTAGAACATCTGATTCCCATCCGGGACACTGTCTTTTAATAATCCACGTTGCGGACGCATCATATTAGGTATAAATTTTTAGTAACCTGGAGCGAAAAGAACACATAAAAAGCTTTGGAATCTTAAAGGAACTGGTATAATATTGAGTCAGTGAGTAAGTAAGCCGAAATTCGAGCTAGTTGTAGTTCAAGATTTACCAAAACTGCTAAAGTTCATAGTGAAACAAATCCCAATATTGCAAAAGGATGTCAAGTACAATTCATCGAAGTAAAAGAGGCGAAAAAAGGCTTGGTGGAGTTCTTACTTGTAATCAATTTTGGCCCCTGTGCGTTGCTGTTACAGTATAAACCTTTAGATCTGAGCCCCGCTACGAGTAGGGTATCACAGAAGACGTCAAAATGTGGTAAGAGTATCAGTAACACACTCTGCTATCGCCTTGTGTGCCACTTTTTTTATTCTCACAGTGACGTCATCTGTGATCAATTGCTGCACAGACGCACTGCAACATGGAATCTATTTAATAATTTGTATTTCTCTGAAAACTTCAACCGGCAGAAGGCAAAGCACTAAGCTTTTGACAACCATGGCCAAGGAGTTGAACTGTGCTGTAGTGGTAAGAACGGGAGTTGAACATTTTAAGGGCAGCACCCCCAAAGTTTGTGGTTCTGGTAGTTGGATCAGAAGGTCCTACATTTCTCTCCATTACGCATTTCCTTGCACAGGTCACCGGCCACTGGCACCTACTTTACAAGCTCGCACTTATCTGGCAGTAAATATAAACGTAACCAGGAGCTCCTGACGTAACTCATACATTCAAAATCAATTCAAATTGCAAAATGTAATTGCCACTATCTAACACGAATATAATAACAGAAAACTGAACAAAGATTGAGAAAGAAAAAGAGTTTTAATGTTTCATCAACAGACAAAAAAAGCAATGTTATACAGGATTGTTTTACACAAAGTTATATAATCCAGGCACAAATGAAGAAGCCAGCAGCAAGGGAGAATGGTTCACTTTTAACGACCATACCTAAAAACAATCAATAAAACAACATTATTTGAGTGTCTGACGAAAAACGTATTCATTTATTCAGTCGTACAAATTGATAGCCAGATTTCCTTTCAAAGTCTTCTTTCACAAGTTTTATTTGCTCATGTAGAGTAATAAAAAAGTTTCCTTTCTCCTTGAGAGGTAAAGTGACTTGCCAAGGCAAAACCTTTCATACTTATTTGTCATATACTCAAACATATAAAACTTTGCTGTATGCCAAGAAAATATGCTGGCCTGTGAATAACTTGAGTTTGTCATTCAAAATCTGGTTTAAAATAGCTCACAATAATACATAATTATGTAGCCACATGAATCCTTGATCCTTTCTGGTCATTTATTGAAACTAGCTTGGGTTCTTAGCTATGCTAACAAAACTAAATTTTTCTTCAATCAAAATAAAAAATGACGACAAAATAGTTCAAGATAGGATGACCATGCCCTTCACAAGAGCCAATCAGGCTAAATAGCAGAAAACTCGCAAGGATAGTTTTTGATTCGAGCAAGTTACTTACTTTTGGAATTCCCATTCTCTGTTGTCCAGTGGACAGACTTGACGAGTCTTCAACCAGCGAGAGATGCAGTGAAAGTGGAAAGCATGCTACAAAACAAAGTTAACATATTAGTGCAGATTCTGTCTCAGGTCACAGGGGAGTGCAGCATTTGAACAGCTTACATTATGGAAAAAAAGCAGTAAAGTTAACATGATAAGTTCCCTTATTATCCCCGGTGAAAACTACATTGAGCTCACTATCTCTTTTCCGATTGGCTGAAAGTGTACTGTGAATTTTCGAATTCAGCGCCTGTGACGTCATCTAGCTACAGATTATACAATAATCATGTCAAGGACACTCAAGGTCACATGGGTAATCACGTCTTCTACGACTAGGGTGCATGATTTCTAAGGATAATCATGTCAAGTTCGCACTTTGTGTAGTTTGCAGTCAGTGAAGAAGCAAAAACATGACTTCCATTTTTTTTTTCGTTCAATGTATAATAAAACAATTATTAGATTTGGTTTTTGTGATATCCAGAATAATCAAGGTCTTGGTAAGGGTTATCAGACTCAGCCTTCAGCTTTGACTGATAGCCCTTATCTCAACCTTGATTATTCTGAATATCACAAAAACCTCATCCAATAATAATTATAGTTTATAAACAGATGCTACAGAGTTTTCATATACCTTTTCAACCAAACAAACAAAGGCTGTACTGAGAGATTATGAAAGTATGGATCAAGTGCAGCAAGGTTTGTATAGAAAACATCGAGGGTCGGTATTCTCACAATACAGTCGTGAGAGTTTGCAAGCAGTTGTAGTTTACTGTTACAAAGAATTTGGCAAATCTTTTTAAGTGCTTTGGAGAACCTACAAATTTAATTAATTTCCTGCATATTTGTCTTTTGTAACCAGTGTAACCAATCTGTCAGTGATTGATGAAATCGTACATGCAGGACATGATAAAAGGGCTGTCTGATATCCTAGGCCTGGGCTAGTGAAGTGAATTGTCAAGATAGTGTTTTCTCATAACAGGTTGCCCAATGGGCAAGCAACACTAAATGCCAAAACAAAGCAGAATCCTCAATCCAATGTGTTCGGTGTGTCCTTTACCTAGCACCACCAGAAGGTCTTCTCAGGTCTTATAGTTTGGGTAGAGTACATGAAAAGTCACTGGAGTTTGAAATAGATGCAAATGAGGTGAGAATAATACTTTAAGGAGATCCTTGTTAACTACAGATTTAGAGCAGTTACTATGGGATTGGTGAAGGTGACATTCAGAGGAAAGCTATTTTTGAGCGTTTTGCAGTGCTAAATGGTGGATTCTATAAGTGAACGTTTGCTTTGAAAAAAAAATATGATTTTGTGTGCATAACTAGTGCCAGTCCCAAATTGCGCATTCCGATTTTTCTTATGAATCAGAAATAACTTAGCCTTCTTTATAATTGTACGCATGGAATTACTGTTTACGTGTAAAATAGGAAAGCTACAGTAGAAAGTCTTTTAATAAGAGTGTTTATTACCTGATAACTTTTATAAAAATGCGAATTTCACAAAATCCGTACATAGCATTAAGCATGTGGACACTCTTAATCTATTGACAGTGATTTAAATTTTCAGATTTAGATGCCTTTTAAGTTTTAAGTTTTTTTTTTCTATTCTGGTCACATGACTGGTCAAATATGGCAGTGATTTAAAATTTTGGCAGGACTCTCCAATGGAACAAACCTGCGCAAAAGGCTTATCCTTCAGTGGTCTGGTTTTCAACGTATGACAGTCAGCAACCTTCCATAGCAACCAATTCATGACCAATTGGTAGTTATGAAGGACCCCACTTAAAAGTCCAATAACTGATCTTTTTGAGCTGTTGCTAGAGAAACTTTGTTGTCATATAACTTTGTCACATTTCAACACTTCATAGTTGTTTCATGTGTTATAACCTTTTCATGGTCAGTAGCACCAATGATGAGATCATCAGGATATGCCCATGGTCATGTCAATAAGGCTCCTCAGCTTACAACTTTACTCGAATTTCTTCATTAATTTAGTATTTTAATTTAAATCCTCCTTTCGCTACGCATAGATTTTGTTTTATTTCTAAAAGGGCAGATTATGAGATATTCAAATATTGAAAATTTCATAAAAAGGCATGCATAGCAATTTTTCCAGGCTAACTGTTGAAAATTGGCTGGATTTACTTTAGCATTTAAAGAAATCAGAAGTGTCTCTAATACCTATCTGATGTTATCCTAACCACACTTGCAAGTACAGTTCACATGACTAACAGGATTATGACAAGATCAACCATACCAAGATAGTTTTTCTTTTTCTTTTGAGGCTGTTTTTTTTTTTTTTTTTTTTTTTTTAGGGCGGGTATTGGGTTAGTAGTGGCATTGTCAGGTTCATTAATAAACCCACCCGTATCGACTATTAAGTTTTTTGTCATATATCTACAACCGAAATAGATCACATGCGAGAAAGNTTATTTCTCTCTTTTTTTTTTTTTTTTTTTTTTTTTTTTTCACTTCTTTTGGTTTGGCTTTTACTTTGATACTTTGAATTTTGTGAAACACATACAAAATTAAAAAAATAACCTAAAATGTAACCAATTTGCAAGCTATTGGAATGTTTAAATTTCCCAAGCCTATGTGAGAACGGCCTTTCTGTAGAGGCTGATGTAATCAACAGGAAGTGAAATTTCACTTCCTCAGTACCCCATGCATTAATAACTTAATGGTCCCAAGACTTTTGAGTGTGTTGCATGTGGTGATATAGAACTTGAAACAGAAGAAGGCTACAGTCCTTCACTCATTAGGAACAGGAACTTGAATGTGAACTTTTACTCTAGCTACTTTCAAGATGAACTATAATTCTATGTACAAGAGCTTTCACGAGTAAGTTACAGCTTTCATATTTTGTTTTCACTAGAAAAAATCATGTTTCTGTTTGGAGGACCAAGATTGCCAACACAGTCTTGTTGATTGACGGAGAACAATGTGAAATGGTGGTTTCAGGGTACGCATAACTTGTGGAACTATTGTTGTCAACGGAGGTTGTAAAAAACTGTCTTCCCCGGATAGGAATTTCTTCATCTTTGCCTTTGAGGTAGATTTATACATTGTAAACAGCTTAGCAGTTTTAAATGAATTGAAAATGTGGCTTACAGCCTAAATCTAGTCAATACAAATTTAAATTTCGCACTCTGCATGTTTACAGCCAATAAGTCAGAATGTTGTATATTTAATTAAAGAATTAACACGTTGAAGTTCAATGGCAAGTTCTGCATCTGGCCAACTGTTTTTTGCCTACTCCTTGCATGGATCGTTACTAAACATTGTCTGATCAAACTACATTTGGGTTCCTTGACAGCTTCTAGTTTGTAATACTTACATTACAGACACCCCATGCTACAGTGCACTCTTCACTAGTTGCGGAGGCCTGGTTAGCTTGACATTCTATACCTAAAGAAATGAATAAATAAATTTATAGATTATAGCCAGGAATGTTGCTGAATTGAGTCCTGTGAGAGTGCATCCAGGGCTCTATAGATTACATACAGTCAGCAACCATGCAAATCTACATACATAATACACTCGAATTTTGGCCTCACATGAAGATGATAAATATATCCTTTATACACAAGACGTATAATTACCAGTTAAGGGCCTCATGTACGTTCTAACATAACATTTCATGGCATACTTAACTTAAGCAGTGCTCAAAATTAGCGGTTGTCTGGTTGTCCGAGACGACTAAAAATTGGCCCAGACAACCATTTTCTTTAAAATCAAAGGCCTGGTTGTCTGAAGAAAATAACACCAGAACACCCAGGAGAAATTGAAGTACTTACATGTACTGTTACTGTGGAGTTTAACCGAATAACAAAGTAAAGGTATGTAAAAGATTTAAATCTGGTGTTTTCATTCGTTGATGGACGCCGCAAACCACGTTTTCAAACCCAGGCCTCCCCATGTACTACCCAAAGTATTGTGCATGGCATGCAGGTAATCATTCTTTTCTGAGACATCCTGGAAAAGTACTTCGCAAGTTGTCAAATATATATTTACAGGTAAGACTAGTTTACCTAGATGGTACAAAATGCTGCTGAAGGGAAGAAGTGTCAATGCAGAGCAGGGTTGTAACGATACAGAACTCAGGATTGTCAGCAACAGTAACAAACTGGTTTATTTAACTTCTCAGATTACAGCACTTGGCTGCATGTAGCACTAAACCTGCTAATAAGACTCATTCCATTTTCATTGTTCTCTTATAGACGAAACTTATGCTCTTATACAAGTACACCTGGAGTTTCCTGAAACTTCTCGAAGGAATTAAATAGCATTGTTGCATGGTTTCTAAATTCAAATATTACATGAGAAACATAACATTCCAGAAGGTTTTAGGTCGCAGCTGAACGACTTCTGGTTCAAGATTGTTAATAATGACAACAAGCCGTAATTTTTGTGAAGGATTTGAATGAAATATATTCTTCCTCCATGGGATTTCCAAAATGTTGAGTATAGTTGTGCAGATAAAATATATAACTGGTAACGGTAAAATCTGCGACTTTTAAAATAATATTAACTTCAACAGATTGCAAATAACACTTGATGATTATAGGGAACTCTGCTTCAAACTATAAAACAGATGCCTGGTTATAAATTAGGGAAGCAGGGATGGCGCAGTGGTGAGAGCACTCACCTCCCACCAATGTGGTCCAGGTTCGATTCCGGCCCGGTGCCATATGTGGGTTGAGTTTGTTGTTGGTTCTCGCCTTGCTCCAAGGGTTTTTCTCCGGGTTCTCCGGTTTTCTTCCCTCCACAAAAACCAACATCTCCAAATTCCAATTGGACCAGGATAGAGGACCCACATGAAAACCAGCTAAGGCTGATGTGGAATCCTCTCTAAATATTGTAATTTATTTATTTATTTAATCAAAATTGCGCTTTTACATCAAATGGTTTAAGCCCCAGCCAAACGATCGCAACATGTCAACGCAACATATCACAACATTATTGGGCGCAACATGTTGTGTTTGTTTGGCCACCATGTTGTGATGTGTTGCAACATGTTGGGTGTTGTTGGCCAAACACACACAACATGTTGCACCCAACAATGTTGCAATATGTTGCGTTGACATGTTGTGATCGTTTGGCCAAGGCTTTACGTCTACAAATCTAGTTTTTTGAATTCTAAAGGTCTCTGAAGAGTCTCTTGGCCGAGACGAAACGCCACGTCAGACTAGCCACGAACATTTCACAAGTATTTGACAATTGTTTGCTTTTGTATAAATTTAACTCGTGAACGTACAGTTGGGAATCCTTCTGTGATAGAGGGCCAGACTGTCAACATCAAGAATTTGTGAACGGGACTTTGGGCGTGATGCTCAACGAGTTTGCCTTTGAATTCTAAAGGTCTCTGAAGAGTCTCTTGGCCGAGATGAAACGCTGCGTCAGACTAGCCACGAACATTTCACAAGTATTTGACAATTGTTTGCTTTTGTATAAATCTAGTTTTGAGAGCTTTAATGGCTCCTTAATATTTATGGCAAGCAAACGATAAAAACTGACTGACTGACTTGGTTCTCTATCATGGCGGGCATCTTAGACCTACTAACTTCTTCATTTCTGTAAGACTGATGCTTCTGTTGTCCAGGCTCACTCACTGCGCAGCAATAAAGGACAACAAAAGCGTAAAAAAAAACAGCAACAAGCAAAAAAAAAAAAAAAAAACAGAACAATTTACGCAGCTGGAAAACCTCTTCTCCAAACAGTCTTCAAAGTGAGGGAGCACATGGAAAAGAGCACATGTTAATTTTTCCATTCGTGCATTACCACAATTCCTTGCAACTTTGATCTTAACACTACCGCAATTCCTTACCTTTTGCAAAGATGTGTTCAATATGACTTTTCCCTGATTAGAGAGCTGCCTCGTTAGTTCGATTCAGGCTCACTCACTGTGGCAGCAAAAATTCTGTAAATTGATCCAGGCTGTTGGAGAGTAGATAGCCACCTTTGGCGAAAATCGTCAATGCTTAATTCTAGAGTTGTGAACTAGGCTATTATTTAGAGTACTCAAATAGCATATGTTTCAAAAAACAGTGGAGTTTATTTTGTTTGCCTTTCCCCGCTATGTTTGATGGCCAGGCTTTTCATTGAAACCACAGACTTTTTGCTGTTGCTACTGTATTTCTCTTCCAAGGAAGTACTTTTGCTAAGCATTAAGTTGTCTATGTGAAATTGTGAACATCTCGAACAATGTTTCAAGGACGCCATTTCGCGCGACTTCGCATCATTTACGTCAAATAAAGGAGACAACATTCAACAACAACATTCAGGCAACATTCAGTTATGTGCAACATTCAGGCATTGTGATTTGTAACTTTATTATTTGAGTTAATGCATGACAGTTCAGACTCGACCTGTGAAAATAGTCATTTAACAATTTGTCTCGTCAGAACCTATAACTAGGCAACAAATTATAGAATTAATATTTTAAGGGCGATCAAGCAGTCATCAGGGTAACCAGAGCCGGGGGTTAGATTGTCCTGCATTTGGAATAAGAACAACTTGGAATTTTTTTTTTTAATTTCGAGCACTGCTTAATTAAGCTCATCCATACTGCGCGAAAAATAAAAAATTCTCTCTACCTAAAATACTCCGTGTCTGGCAGTGAGACTTAGAAATTTTTTTTTTTAAAAGTTAAGCAACATAAAATGGACGTTTCGACAGGCGATTCCAAGAGGAATCAAACCCGGGTCACCGGCCTGGTAAGCGATACTGATGACCACTGCGCCATCAAGACCGGCCGGCAACTTTCGGAATTTTTTAAGTATTTATAGAGTTACCCATAGTATTATTGAAAGCTAACCGTAAACAGGCTAACCGGAGAGCTATTTAGGTTAACCGGAGTGCTATTCAGGCTAACCGGAGTGCTTTTGCGGCTAACCGGAGTGCTTTTTAGGCCAACCGGAGTGCTTTTTAGGCTAACCGGAGTGCTATTCAAACGTTTTGACTGCCGGTTATTTTGTAATAGTCTACGTTATAAATCCCGTTATACTGGGTGCCGGGCTCACGAAAATTAGTATTCAACAATATAAACAAAGATTTGACATTATTAACTGAAATTTTTAAAAATAATTTTGACTGCCGGACACGGAGTATTTTGAAAAACCTGTCCGGCTGCCGGACATAGAGACACAGCGATATATTTTCTGTCGAATACTTACACAAATCCATGATGTGGTTCCTACAGATGGCACAGTTATCGACCACAATGTCTGGAAATATATATCGAATTAGTGCAATCGAGGACAAAATTGTTAGGTGCACTGTTTGGCATTAAAATATGACTTACCCCATGCCCACAAAGCAACAGCATTCCACTGCCATGAAAGAGAAAGAAATGATCAGTTTTAAAGAAAAAGAGAAAGTTACATAAGGTAGTCAGATATGAAAAATAACGATTGAGGAACACATTTACCTTTTTAACTTCGAATCTCTTCTTGTTGGAGCCTGAAGAAGTCGATGGAACTGCGGGAGAATCGACATCCATTCCCTCCGGTTCCGCCATCTTTCCTTTGATTTACGCAAGCTCAGAGGCTTGGTATCCTCGCCTCTTTACCATGCAGCCAAGCCTTCACAATCCAAGATGTCTGCCTTGGAGTTCAGAGGGAACAGTATATTTATTGACGCGTGACCATGTCTTTGTGTTTCTGCTCTTTTAGAGCCAATATTCTTTAGAAGATATACGGAAAGATGGCTGCTATAACTTGGTCTTTGCGTGGAAGTGTCAAACTAGCGAATGTTTATTCGTCGTTTTCACTGGAGACATGGAATCCGGTTGTTCTGGCCGCTATTTGTTCTCCAATGCGACAGCAGAAAAGGTTTATGTCCAAGCCTTTGCAAGGAAGAACAGTTCGAATTGGCTGTGCGTCTGGATTTTGGGGAGATTCAGTTTTGGCAGGTGAACTACCAAGGTCTAAGGTCTAATTAATAAATTAAAAATTAATTAATACAATTTTAACCGTACCTATTAGAATATCTCTGCACCCGCCACCGTATCCCCGCCCCCACTCCAGAAGAAAACGTTTGTAGGGAAAAACCAAGTCAGACTCTTCTGTGATCCGCAACAATTAAACCCTACAAAAAAAAGCAGTCACGCCGCGTGACTGCCTTTTTTGTAATGCTTCATTGTGCTACATTATGTCATTCAAACAAAAAAGTGGTGTTTAACTTCCAGTCCCAGTTCTAAGCTCTTTGAGTTAATTTCTTGTTGTGTTGGTGATTGTTGGTTTCCTGTTCATAATGATTCGTTTTTGTGCTCTCCTTCCACTGAGTACGGGTGCCTTTTTAATAAGCATTTCCCCGTAGTGTCATTTTTATGATGAGCACTCCTATTGCAATAAGCAGCTCCTCCAGGTAAGCACCCTATATTGAAAGTGACATTCAAGAAATGAACATACATGTGGGTAACTCGAAAACACTGACCCTGGGTCCGCGAACCCCACTATGGACCGGGTCTGTGGACTACTGTTACGGACCCCCTTTACGGACCACCCCCCAAAATAGAATAAAAATAAGAAATAAATATTTCATTATGGGTTGTCCAATAGATTACTCATATGGTGAAATTTCGAGTGTTACACTGTGCAAATGTAATTAACACACCCCCACCCCACCCCAAAATGCCTAAAAGCTGTTTTTAGTGTAAAGAGATGCTGATGACAAAAAGAAGGAAAGTTCTTAACTTTCATTCATGGCTCCATCTGGCTATGGGAGGTGTGTTTTTAGGTTGTTTAAGCTTGTTTGTATCTGTAATTCCGCTGAGCAGATTATGAAGCCTGGAACGAGTTCACGAATCCACACGAGAATGGGCTGAACAAAATGGCTCAGGTAAAAGAGCACAAATCTCAAGCCGGCTTCCCAGAGGCCTCCCAGAGGATTCCTGGGGGCCTCCCAGTCTTTTATATACTGTATGGCCACAGCAAAGGAAATGGTAATGTGTAATGATATAACTTGCGCCCAAGCCTGAACCCAAGAATGTTACATTTGCACGCTATAACGTTCGAAATCTTGCTGACACGAGTAATCTATTAGATAACCCGTAAGTGACATGTTTGTTTCTAATTTTTATTCTACTTTGGGGGGTGGTCCATAGAGGGGGTCCGTAGGGGTAGTTCGTGGACTGGTCCATAGGTAGTCCGTGGACCCAGTCTGTAGTGGGGGTCCACGGACCGGGGGTCAGTGTTTTCGGGTTACCCACATACATGTACATGTAGAAGAGATGATTAAACAGATGAATTATGAAATCTGCTTTTTCATCTGAACTTTATATTGAACTTCATGATTATCACAGACCTCTTGTTACAGTTCTCAACTTAAAGCATGTATTGTTTTCATTAACTATTGAACCAGAAATAAGCGCCCCATCCCTAATATGCACCCTTCTTTGGGCTACCAAAAGTAAATTAGTACCCTAAGTTCTTAATCAATCATCATAGTTATGTATATACCAGAATTTTTTTGTACTCAGCCATAAATTTGTTTCTTATCTCTGCAGCTCCACAGCTTGTTCGTGATGGAGAAATCAACTATCTTGTATCTGATTACTTGTCAGAAATCACTATGTCACTCTTGACTGCAGCCAAACACAAATCACCAGTATGTATGAACTTCAAACCTTGTTTTGTTTTAATCTCAAGCAAAGATTAAAAGTAGTGTACCTTTTTTAGTGTTCATCTCTGTTGAGTGTTGTGAAACAATTGATTTTCAACCACAAAAAAACACAGACCCAGCCCCACTCAGATATGATTGTCTGGTATATGCCAAGACCTTCAGTTTAAAACTTAAAATGGCACTGTAATTATCAACTTAAACTATGAGGCAAATTAAGTATTTGAATATCCCAATTTGAAAACTGACACTCTGAGAGTTAGCTCTTTGTCAATTAACAGGGCTCAACACTAACGGTAGTCAACTAGACACAGACTAGTAGATATTTAGTTTTGGCTAGTAGGTTTTCAATTTCCACTAGCCACTTTGGCTAGTCAACAAAATGAAATTGGCTGAACTAGTTTCTGTCTCCTTCAAGGAAGACAAACACAAAATTTACACTTTTCTCGGAAACAAGGTCAGAATTTCCTTGTGGACATATCATGGTACTGGGCATGTGCTGTTCAGCACGTATGCAAATTTAAGTTTGTCTACTTTTTGCTGGGTGGTACGTAAACAGGGAACTGAACGTGTTACTTTTGTTGAAAAAAATATTTGACAAACAAGACAGCATTTTCTGACAGCACACACCAATGCTCTTGTTTGTCACAAACTTTTTTTTCATGCGCAAAATAGTGCAGAATTGTAAAGGGGTAACATTTCATTTTAGCGTAAACAATACATGGGTGATTTGTTGTTGTATGCATACTTACAAACTTTACCTACCACTACAGAAATAATTAGATGAGAAAGAGTTATTTCCCTCGACATTTAAACCAGCAGCTTTTAGCAGTCGAATTTCACCAATGACAGTTTACAGTATTGTTCAGATAGCTGTTTTGCTTTTGAAACATTTCTGCGGTGCCTGTCTGTGAAGAAGTCTCGACAGTTTTTACAGTTACTTCTTGGGGGTCTTGATATTATTTTTTCCAAGGAAGTCTCAGAGAAAAACAGAGTCCTGAAAGTCTTTTCGGGAACTGGAACGTTTTTGAAACTAGTTTAAGTACAGTATAATTACCAACGTTCTGTATTAAAGACAGTCACTTGAGTTGTGCTTTCTAGTCTTGCCAGTAATTCTGTTGTTATTGGACCTACCTGAAATTTTCGTGATACATTAATTTGCGAATTTCGTGATTTAAATAAAATCGCGAAAATAAAGTGACGTGAATAAGTAAGTGTAACTGGCGCCCGTTTTATAAAGCTCAATTTGGTGTAGAAACTTTCGTAGAGCTCTACGACTCTACATTTTCATCACCAATCTCCTCCTACATGTTGGAAAGATACATTACCTCCTACTTCATAGCTTTTACTGTAGTTGTGTATTGTTACTATGGTTACCTGCCTATTTCATAACATTTGTTTTCAATTTGTAGCATATTCCTCTCATATATCTCATAAATATTAAAGTATTATTATGGTTTACAGTGTTTTAATCGTTTTCAATTTAAAATTCTGAATTGAGTTTACCCTCTACCATCTACACTCTACGTTCTATGGTTCTATGTATGGGCATACAGGCTTACAGTCATTGTAACAAAATTAAAGGGCTCAGGGAATGTTTAGTGTTATTACGGTTTACAGTATTTTAATAATCTTTTTAATGTACAATTCTGTATTGAGTTTACCCTCTACAGTCTACAGTCTACCCTCTAAGCCCATTTGCTTGGAAGGTTATTGGAATTTTTAATTTTTTTTTTTTAATTTGTTAATTTTTTAATGAAGACTAGTGAGCAGTACAAAGGAAGACTTCTTGTAGTTGTAAGCTTTTCCATTTATTTCCGCCACGCTTCGTCTCTACCTGAGACTTCTTTGGGGAATGATTTAAGTGTGCCTAAGTTTAACTTCCCATGGAAGTGAATAACTGCTGAAACATGCTGTAAACGGACGTAGCCTCTAAGCTAGTTTAGAGAGTAGTAAAAAATTCTTGAACTGATAAACTCGTAAACACGTAGAGCGTAGAGCATAGATAGTGGAACATGGAGTGTAAGGGCCATAAGAGTGTAGCATGTTGACCGTACATAGAAGAACATATAGTGTAGAGCGTAGTCAGGGTAAACTCAATACAGAATTGTAAATTGAAAACAATTATCAAAACACTGCAATTCGTAATAACACTCAACATTCCCTAAGCGATATAATATTTGCTACAATAACTATACACCACTACACCTCTACAGTGTATGCATATCCGAGAGAAACGGAGCCTAAACATTCAAAATACTAACATAAAGTCGTAGAGCTCTACAACAGGCTGGGTATGAGTAAGTGTATGGAACACAACACATTATGTTACTGTTGACATATAGTACCACCATTGAGTTTTTGTTACTTTTGACATTATTGTACCTTTGATAAAGTCAGTTTACTAAATTCAAAGACATTTATGTTAAGTAACATTGCCAAGGAAATAAATTTTGTGTTACTCAAAAACGCGAAGTTAAAGTGATTCAAAATACAAAATTTTTGCAAAATCGCCGAATTTAAGTGTTGCAAAATATGTGGACCCCCAAATCGTGAAATAAATGTGTCACAAAAATTTCATGTAATAAGGTAGCCAACCACAATGCTTGGCTAGTAAAAAAAAAAAGTTTTAGCTAGTAACATCGAAGTTATCACCAACCACTAGGCTAGTAAGTTGAAAAGTTAGTGTCAAGCCCTGATTAAGGCAATGAAAAAAAATTTTGCTACGGTGACTAATATGAGTAAGTTCAATTTTCACGGTGTTTCGTTGAAATGGAACCTCTGCGTCAGTTGCATGTAGTTAATAGAGGTTGGAATCTGTGAGGAAAATTAATCGATGCCAAGGACCAAGGAATGTTTAGTTCACTCTTTCAAAAGCAGCTGCAAATTAAAGCAGGAATTAACTCTCGCAATCAGCCAAGAAAAAAGAGTCAGACCGTGTTGTTCTTGTACCTTTTGGTACATCATTTTTATACAGCACTAATTCTTAAAAAAAAAAAAGACCAAACAAAGAAAACAGAAAAAAAAGAAAAATTTAACTTGACCTGGACTTGACTTGAGACTTGAACTTTACTCATGCTTTGATATATAACTTGGTTAATTTATCTTTGATTTTTAACTTCAAGTCGATACTTACTAGATATAGTAAGTGTTTCGCTTGCCTGCCGAGACAGCCAAACAGTTTCACAAGAGGCCTATCACTTTATTCACGGTATATAGTTCTATTACCTATTAATTATAGAAGCCTGTAACTTGATATGTGCCAAGCCATTACGTTATCTAATTCTCTGATTGATTTGTCTTTTGATCATTAATACAGTACTTAGCAATAAAAAGTCTTAAATGTAAATTCTTTGTTTTATTTTAGACTTTAGGGTATGCCCCTGACTTTATACAGGCTGTGATGAAACCACTCATTAAACCTATTAAACGAAAAGGTGGGAAATGTATTGATGTAATGAAACTATCACTGAATCAGAGGCTATTGATCAGGGGCAGATTTTGGGTAGGGTGGGTGCTTTTGTCCCCCTTTTTCCTTTTATTTTTTCTAATTTTTGGAAAAAAAGAAGCATATCTTGGAAAATTGATTTTTCATTCAGTTTGTGGGCACGGTTGTACTCTGCCACAATTCTTTGGCTTCCTCTTTCTGAATTTTCTGGATCCACCCCTGCTGATGGTAGGCTAGACTCACAGAACTACAATTCACAAGGCATCTTTTAGATGAGCTGTGTAATCAGTCAGTAGCTTAGCCATCTGTTCTGAAGCTTCGAGTCAAGCTGGATATTCTAATTTGCAGGTATTCGTGTAGTGAGTAATGCAGGGGGTGTCAATCCACATGAGTGTGCAAATGCTTTGTTGGCCGTGGCAAAGGAGGCCGGTACTGACTTGAAAGTTGCTGTTGTCAGTGGAGATGATCTTATGGCTGATGCTGAGGAAATAAGGCAAGCTGGTATCAAAGATATGGACAGTGGACAAGACTTTCCAGGAAATATTGTGAGCATGAATGCATATTTGGGGTAAGAAATAATTGATCACGTATAATACTATTTTAGTAATACCGTTCTATGGTATATCATTATTTTTTTCAGATTTTCAGACCATGAAGCCCCAATCACTTTGCCACCATGAATAATGCATTGTGGCAGTAGGCTCATAACAATTTCTTAAGTCTGAGAACTGTTGGATATAAATTTTTAGCTGGTTCCAGGAGAACTGCAAACTTTTGTTGGGTTCAACATTTTGTTTTGCTCTTCAGAAAAGTAAAAGTTCACTGGCTACCTTAATTGAATGTGGCATTTGTCTAGTAATTAGAAACAACATAAAACCTGGGAGAGTCGATCTTGCTGTTGTCAGTTGTCTGCATGTAAAATGGTGAATAAGGAACAAATGTGCTAATTACAAAAAAATTAGTGTTGTTTAGGCAATGGTTTAGAGTTATTGTCTTATTCATTAGTGTTGGCAGTGTGCCATGATTAAGTTTTTCAAACTCAGAAATTTCCTTTCTCAATTACACTGACATTGTCAAAATCATTAATCAAGAATGGTTATTAGACTATGCACGGGGAGAAACATTGGAATCTTTTTTGCATGTTTTTATATTCTTCCAGTCTTGCCAATACAGTATCCTTAAGACAGTCTGCATATTGAATTTTATAGATCACATTAATTGGAAGATCAGTTGGTAGCCTGAACTTTGGAAGTGTGGGAGACTAATGTGATCTATAAATTAGATTAATCCTTGTGGAGACAGTCCCTGAAGCTATAATTCTATAGCAAGACTGGAAGGTGTTTTTCTACAAGGAAAACAAGGACTCATCTGGAATGTAAAAACATGCAAAAGAATTCTAATATTTCTGTCCATGCATGGTGTAATAATAGTTATTATTCTACTGATTTTATCAATGCCAGTGTAATTGACAAAGGAAATTTTTGGGTTCAAAGGCTTAAGAATCATGGCACACTGCTAACACTAACAAAGCAGAAAATAGCTTTAAGTCATGGTTAAACAGTACTTTATTAGGACATTTGTTCCTTTTTTTAATTACTGTTTTGCATTTTTTTTTTTCACACTTTTGCTTTGCATTATTTTAATTTTCATCTCATGCTTTTTTGTGTTAGTTCTTTATGACTCTAGACTGGAGACCAAGCTTTCCTTTTTTTCTCCTTTCCTCTTTATTCTTGATATTCTCAGTAAAACTCAGTCTGCAATTTTTTAAAAACTGCACCCATAGTTGACTACCTGCAGGATCAAACTTTTCTCATTTCTTAAGCTGTAAGTTGTAAGTTCTAACTAAGCTGCTTCCCTGAGGGACTAATTAAACTAACTCAGTAATCCATGAAGAATAATTTTATCCACTGCATCTGCTTCAATAAAATAAACAGGTAGGGTTTGACTTGTCTGTTATTGGGCAATTGAACTGCTTGCTGTTGTTTCAGAACATAATTATTAATATTTCTTTCTGGAATTTGGAAGCTCTCAAAGATGACCAACTTGTACCTTTTCAGTGGGTTTTCAATAATGAGTTTGCCCCCATTCTAGTAAATGACTGGCTTAGGTCACAGTGACTTTTCCCCACAACTTATATGGTCATTTACAGAGCTTTGTCTCTATGTCTAAGATGCTAGGAACTTAACATGTACATGTTCATGACTTATTTAAGGAGTTTTTGTTTGGGTACTCTGTAATGCTTCACTCAGTTAATGACCAGATGCTAGTGGAGAGAAACATTGCAGTATCGCAATCTGAACAATGTCCTTGAGTTAGACTAATTATAACTACAGTCAAACCTCTGTGAAGTGTCCCCCCTCGGGGAAGACGGGAGGTGACCACTTACAGGGATTCATGAAGAATAAGCATGAGTTTATTCAAATACAAACATGCTTTAAGGCAACATGGAATCACTTGAAGTGGTCCTTTTCTATCCATCATCGCCTTTTCCAAAAGAAAGTCAATCTACATGCATTAAACTTGGGTGGCTGCTTAATAGGGGTAAGGACAATAGAAAACCCTTGCCATGATTACCAAAAGGTGGCAGTGGCTGCTTAATACAGGTGGCTGGTTATAGGGATTTATTTTGAGTACACTTATTTTAATGACAAAACTTCTGTGACTTTGATGACTGTGTACTTAACAGGGGGTGGCCACAGAACAGATGGCCTCTCAACAGAGGTTTGACTGTAGCACCACTGTCAGTGCATATTAAGAGAAATTGAATTCTTTTGCTTCAAGAAATTGCCAGGTATGTCTTTTTTTCCATTTAGATCTTTAATTACTTTTTTTTAAAACAGAGCTTTTCCTATTGTGAGAGCATTAGAGCATGGAGCTGATGTTGTTGTTACTGGACGATGTACCGACAGTGCACTGGTGCTTGGACCTCTCATGTACGAGGTAAAATAGCTACTTATATATAAAAGTTTTTTTGTGGGCCTTTGGCAAACTATACATAATTATATGTTAATCTGGAACCAGTAGGCAGGATGGAGTTGGCAATGGTCTTAGGAAGAATTCTGCAAACTGTAGGATCTAAGTCCTTCTTTGGATAATAATATTTTAAAGGCCTTTCCCTAATGTTGGGTCTCGACAGAATGACAGCCTGGAATTTGCTTGTATCATTGACTGCAGCTTCAGACAGAATTCACAGATGTTCAGACTTGTCCATCACTTCTTCTCCCAACCCTTTTTGCGGTTTTAAGATCACAATAATAATCATTGCATTGTTTTTAATATTAACTCTTCGATAGCCATTGTGTGTGTCACCAAGAGATGGGCTGCCAGCTAATTTCACCAGCTGAACTTAAATTGGGCTGCAATTTCACATGAAAACGTAGACCGAGGTAAACTTCAGAGCTGCCAGGGCCAGAAAAGCCAGCTGGGCTTGTTGATTAGCCGGCTTAGTGTTTTCTTAGCTACATCTCCATGTTTTCAGAGGTCTTAGGCCCTTCTATTGAAGGTATAGACAATAGCTACACAGGGAGCTTGTTGAGAACCATGCTTATTTTTTGCTTGTCATTGTATTTGTATTGCTGAATCACCATTACCACCAAGAAGGGAAATATAAAATTATTCAACTCAGTCATACAAGGCTTGAAAATAATGATTGTTTGTATCAATCTTTGTCTTTCAGTTTGGCTGGAAGGCAAATGATTATGATTTGCTTGCTTCTGGAAGGTAATGAGAGTGTTTTGTGTGAATATGTTGCCATGAGATGCAGTATGTACTAATAACTTAAGACCGAGTTTACAAGAGGACCAGGCAGGGGTGATACATGCCATCTCTCCTTTTTGGATGAAACTTTGCCAGATTGAAGGTACTACCCAACAACTCTAAAAGACAAAGTGGCCCGGCTTTGTGATTTTTTCCCTTAGGAGTTAGACCACCCCCCTGGTTTTTTGCCCAAAATCCCAAAAATGTCACTAAAATAAGCATCAAATTTAAACACTGCTCCTGCTTACAGAATACATTGAATTTTAT